TTTTCTATTAAAATTGTTTATGTTTCTGATTACTAAATCACACGTCAAATAATATCTATATATATTCGAAGCTACAGTAACAGTTGTTCTTCAACATTTTTAATTTCTCGTCTGAGTACAGTATTCACTAATTTATTACGCATGAACAAAAATTGCTTGCAACTATGCAACTACGCACGATAATACAATTTGATAACTTCGACGCATCTTTCATACAACAATTTAAATCAGTTAAAAGTATTAGTATTCCTTCATTGCACCCACTGTAAACAAAGCACTGTTCCGTAATTGATAAAGAGAACGCATCAGTTATACGAAACCGAGGCACACTTTTAAAACCGCAATTAATAAATCATACACAAAGTATCCCAATAAGAAGGTAAAAATTATTAGCAGCTTGAGAACGAGCAGGAAGCCAATCAGTAGGCAAATTGATTGGCGATCAAGACGAGTTAATGAGCTTCGGTAAAAGTCTAAGACAGGTTATAATCGACGCCGGTAGATGGCAGCATGTGGCGGATGTCCCGGTTCGAGTTCGAAGCATATTCTAGTAAGGTGACACGGGCGACATCGGGTCGACCGTGGGAAACTGTCCTGTGCGACACTCGGTCGGTAATTCAGAGGTTTTTCGACTGTTGCATGACCCCCCGCAATGGTCGCCACCATTAGTACGGCCTTTACTCCGCGGAAAAGACTTGCGTCCACATGAACCACGGCGCCAAGACTCCCGGGTTAACCGCGAATTAGTGGCGTTTAAAGGCGAGTCAAGTTTACTCGTCTATACTACTAACTAATAGCAGCCCTAGAACGTGTCTACAATGTGAACACAGCCAGCAGACGTTTACCTAATTACCGGTCACAAAAAATATCCAGCCGCCCTAACCACAGGCCACGAGCCGCAGGCACCGAACCCCCCCTCAAGCTATAACACCGTGTTTTACCAAGATCCTATCTGCACTTGCATTTCTTCTCTATCGCTATTTGAGTACGCGGATTTGCAGACTGTCCGAAAATTGATGTATTCTTGTTCTGAGTAACAGCGAAATTTGTGGTAAGTTCAATGAGAATATTGAAGTTTTATATTGTTCATTAACCTATTTGCATCATTAGCGCATACGTGCGCGCATTTTGCTCCGTAATAATCATTATCCATTTTTCCGTGTGGTGCCAATGGGTTAATAAACTCATTAGTTATTGTTGGATATAGATAAATGTTAGATTTGAGACCTTGGTAGAAGTTTTCCCTTTGGTAAGAAGTTAAAAACAACCTTAAGTTTCAGTCAGAGGTTCTCACGTAGCATTCGCGAGATCTGTACTTCGTATCAACATGACAGTCTTTTTTTGATAATGTAAGTATTTAATAGTACGGAGATTAAAGGAGTTTACGACGAAATCTTATCTCTGGGAAGTGTCATTAGAGTTTCTGATGTATTCGGAGAATTCGCAAGTATTTAAAATTTCTAATACTAATTATATTGAAATTAAGGAGGTGATTTTAATTCAAATTATTATTTCGAGTTACAAAGTCCTTTGGATTTGATTTAAGCTGTAGTTTTTAAATCGTCATGAATTTTATTGTGTAAGTTAGGTTTTCAAAATTCAAATAATTGTGTATCGATCTTGATTGAATAACAAGGATCTCTAAAGATTAATTCCTAAATAAATCAATCATCCAGATGTTCAGTAATTATGTAATAAAATAAATAAGGAATTAATATTATTGTAAAGCTTTCAGTTATTGTACAATAACCTTGACTTTGCCAGCTATGAACTTGCTTTTGTTAATTCCCTTATAGTTTGTCTATTATACGTGTTACATTTGAAGAAATGTCCATTTTACAGAATTTTGTGCAACCTACAAAACGTGGCACATTCAGTGTTATCATTTTAGTTTAATTGCAAAGATTAAAAAGGAAGCACAAGTAGTTTGCAATGAGATCATAATCGAGCAGTTAATCATACAGCCTGATTATAATTAAGTACAAGTATTAATAAAGCGTCTTCATAATGCGACACGGCCAATATGGCGCCGACAACCAAATCGCTATTAAATATCGAAGAAATATGTCATAAGAACTAAACTTTTTAAAAATTATTTTTCCACGTTAATCATTGTGACAGGTAAAAATTAAGTTGAAAATATAAATATAAGTAGAATTTTGACTTTCAACACATTTTGATATTTGCAGCTTACAAGCTTTATCAAAAAAATAATAGTGACGATAGTAACGTGTACCATTAAAACATATGAAATTTCAAAAAACGATAAAAGTTCCTAAATCAAATATTCTTTGAAAATAAAATGTATTCCATTATAATAATCACTTTTTTCTACGGCACGATGAAGCGATAAAAATGCAAAGTTTGGATACCTTGAATTTGGTAACTTGGATTAAAGTGGAAAAAAAGGACTGGTCCCGTTTGATATGAGGACCTTGCAAACTTAGTATGGTGCGGAAGAAGGACGAAGGGACCGAATTTGATGGGCACGAACTCCTGGAATTCGACTGTGGGACTTGGGTCCGAGGTCGCATGGGCCCGGTGACCCTTAGATAAGGCTCACGCCCTAATAAGAGGGTATACTCGCCGAGTTTCTAGTCGACTACAACCCAACCATAACCTAACCCGTCTAACCCATACGCTCTCTGTGGTTAGCTGAGTTAGCCTTTTGCTGAGCAGTGAAGGCCCAAAAGCCGAGTTCACGACATTCCTACGAAAGGCTCCCACACCGCAGCAAGGTTCAACGCAATAAAGCCACGAAATCGTCCGAATTTCATTCTCCGATCCTCGGGTCCCATCCTGTTATTAGAAACCGGGTTACATCCTCCCTTTTAAACGCAGCCTCTTACCGATCGATCTTCCTCTGTTCTTCCTTCTTGCAGCTCTTTGTCTTTATTTTCATGCCCACTACTTTTCTTTTTCTTCTCACTTTTTTCTATTCTCCCACCAATTAGACCACTTTGTACACGTTTTAGGTATAACCGCGACAGCTTGTACTGTGCTACGCTTCATTTAAAAGACTGTTAAACATGTCCATCCGAACGATATCAAAAGATTCAGGGACGTACCAATTTCTTTTCCCACCCTTGCAGATCACTAGCAATCATCTAATCGTTACGATAACGTCAGACCTCGTGGTCTCTACTTGAAAATTCATTCGATCAAAATAGTCTGTAATTGTATAGCCTGTAAGCTGACAAGAAAGGTAGTCAGACTCTTTCTTGAATGTAGTACAGGTCTATTTAGACGACTCTGTATCTTAGCAATGTCCATCGTTGATTTAGGAAGCGATTACCTCGAGTTCGAGACAAGTCATCAAGGATACTAGGAAGGTGCGTTCTGATTATTGTAATTAAATCGTTTCCAAGGGATCCACTAAAAGGGTGGAACAGCTCCTCTTCGGCTACCTGGTTTCAACTGTGTATGGCACGGCTCCACCCTTTCATTTGATCCTCACCAAAACAGCATCTCGTGTACTAATAATTATCCAGAACCCGAAAATAATAGTACAAAGAAGACTTCCGAAATTCGTCCAAACTGAACGGCAAGCTCGTGAAATATATATCTTAGCCCTTGGGAGTCTCAATTAACGGTTTGCTACTCGGGATGTTTTACGATCTGACGCCTCGAGTGCACAGAACGATATTCCCAGGGAATTCGTGCCAGCGGCCATTGACTTTTCGCGATAGAACCGTATCCGAAAATCCCTTAGAAAAACCCCTGGAACAGGGGATGACAGTGGGGGCAGTTCAAGGGTTTACGGAACAATAAAACCGGCTAAATGGCACGCGCCCATGTTTGCTCGCCTTTTTCATTATCTTTTATACTCCGGGGGTGAGAATTAATTAAAGTTAAACATTGCTAACCGGACGGCAAGCGTGTTACAGGGCGGCCATTCTGTCTGAGATTGCACCTGCTGCGCCACTGGTTCAAAAATCTCGAGCAAGAATTTAATGCCATATATATATATATGTATGTATATATAATTGTTATGTAGCAAATTTAATCCCTTATCTTCCCAGAAAAATTTCTAATTAAAAAAAAATACTCAAATTTTAAATCTGGAAAATTTTGGATAAGGAACATGTACTATTGAGTAAAATGAAATTTCTGGGATATTTGATGTTGACATTTTTTAAGTATATTCTTAAATTGTTACTCTTTTTATATTATTTATATTATTATAACAGCCTATCGATTCTTTCCTTATTATAGAGAAATACGTGTCAGACGAAGTTAAATTTCTTTAATTGAATTATTCTTAAAAGACGCGAAACTATCAAGAAAATTTATCATTCATCATATGATCATGTCGCTTCGCTTTACGTCACATATGGAACCGAAGAAAAGGTAAGCAAGTAAAATACAACGTCTAGTCAGCCGTAATAACCAAATTACCTATTTGTGCATAATGACAAAAAAGGATTACCACCTATCGACATCTTCAGACAATACGAGGAAGTTTTTATAAAAAAAAAACAAAATTTTCAAAAACATTAAAAAAATTTTACAAACTCCAAAATACATTGACATACGTACTATGGATCTTGTACGGTGATACGAACACGTACGTTTTCATTGCTCCAAGAACGATACGATACGTCAGACGAACTTCAATGATAACAACACGTTGAAAAATGATGAGACAGTTAATGATTATGACTTATTGATATAACAATGAAAATGACATAACTCGTCGTCTACAATTTCGGACAATAAGAAACATATCTTTAATACAGTCGACTAGGAAGAAAATGACTTTTCTGAATGTCTTTCTTTCTTTCGTTTTAATTATTATTCTTTTGTTTTTTTGTTTTTTTTTGGTATATCCATACGGTAACGACGAAGTTCTTAATGCCTGGCAGCTTACATGCAGCTTATGGGGCTAGGTACTTAATGATTCAGATAAGGTGACGATGACGACACGTTTCAAGACGATTTACACCTAGGAAAGACGACGCGTCACACGATACTACGTATATGTATGTATGTATGTATGTATGTATATATATATATATATATATATATATATATATATATATATGTTATGTACACCGATCTTAAATTAGTGGTAACATCGAAAGGGACACGACGGGATGCGCATAAAATGGGGGGCTCCACGCACAAAAACGGAGTCCTCTTTCGACTATGTTGTACTATGTACAAGACGTGCGCGTGGGTGGTCCCATGGGTCTGCTTGGGTCTGCAGGACTCGACGCGGACCCAACCGGGTACCTATTGGGGCCTTGAAAAATCCTATTTACAGTATGCGAGCCACGAACGGGATCCCTATCTTTTTCTAACATTTATGTCCTTTCGAAATGACTACGCCTTCGCTATGAGAGATTAGGATTTTTCTCGTTTATCAAAGATCCACGCCGGATCATTATTCAAGGAGACACTTTGCACCCTTGATTCGTTGTACTTAAACCTAGAAGTAGAATAAGTTGAAAGTTCCTGTTTCTCGACTAAAATATTGAAATCAATAATTTAAGTGAAATTCGATCCAACTGGATATTCTTTACATTAACATTGAAATAGCTAATTATCGGTTCGTTGCCAATATGTTTTTCTCGTTATATATCTACAGCTAGTAATTATTTCGAAAAGTGACATAAGAAACGGTACTAGCTTTGAATTTGAAAAATCGATTTTGATGTAATGCCACAATTTTCTCGCTACAACAAAATTGCACAGAATCGTTATCAATCTCGATTTTATGTCTTATCTGTATTCTATGTGTTCGTTCTATGTTTTTGAAAATTAAAATTAAAAAATTGGCCGTTGCGCAACAAGCTACACTGGAATGATTTTTTAACAAGAAGGATGCACAGATGATTATTTACAATGGTATTCACTATATATATATATACGCGAGGTGCAATGGATACGAGATCTAACGTCGCATTATCTCTTCTATACTGAAACCCAATTTTGGGGTTGTAGTCGTTTTCTGTGGTGCATGAAGTCCGCCGAGTCTCTCTGTAATCTGCCGAATCGTCGTTGACGCTGTCATTCCGGTTTCCATAGGCGCCGGCACGTCCACTCTGAGATCCTGTGGTGCTTCCGTGTGCGTTAACAAATGTGTCTTCAGATTACTACGTTGATTGAAACTTCTGGCGCAGACTGGACATTTGTGCGGCGATTCTTCCATATGTACGATCTTGTGCACTGCCAAGGTTCTGCTCTGGCAGAATCCTTTGCCGCATTCGCCGCATTTGAAAGGCTTCTCTTTGCTGTGTATGTATCTGTAATGCAATGTGAAAAAGAGCCTTTAGAATATTTGTCAAAAATTTTAAGTAAGCCTTATTACAACAGTGATTATTATATATCAACAAGCATTGTATACGACTGTTAATCAGTAATTATCAAACACTAAAAAAATGTTTATTAATAATTATTGAAAACATTATTGCGTTAATTGAATACACGAGTTACTATAGTGACACTAAAATTATTTTTTTTAAATTCATTAACGCTCTATAATTTACTGGAATTAGAACAATTAATAACCATTTGATAATATTATATAATATATAACCAATTAATAGCCAATTACGTATTTGACGTAAATGTTATAAATTTTTATTTTTTTATTCTATTTTTTATAATCTGTTTATTTATGACAATTAAAAAATTTATTTTGTATATTGTCATTCGGTAAATCTGTCAGTATCAGTGTGTAGTATAGAGAAACGTCATCGAGGCGATAGTACTTTATCCAAAGAGATTTCATAAAACCACAAATATCGTATCAAGATAACGTGTGTCTAAAATGAAAAATTATACAATTCGATACGAAATCCTGAAACTGGGAAGTTCCAAAGTCAGACCAGACAGAAAGATAATATACAAGTCAAACAAAGCATTTGCCACGAGCCACATATGTATTTATATATATACTTATGTATATACTTAGTTCCCCATGTGAAACGTCATTAAGTCATCGTGCTAGCTAGTCATCCTATATTACCGATAAGACACCTGCCTAACGCTATTCCCAGTCATACTCATGCCATCCATCGAGGGATGGTTTTACCAGGTGGGACCGGACCCATTTAAAAGTGATTGAAGTATGACAAGCCAAAAACGGCAAAGAATAGATCACAGGCACATAGAACCTCGTAAACCGATCATTAATTATTTTCATAATATGATTTGTATTATCAAAAATTACAGGCTGTTTCATATTATTACCGCATGATTCAGTCAAATAATTCAACTCTGACCTACGTAACCAAAATATATAGCACCTACGCTTTTCACAGTCCTATCCGGGAATAGTGCTAAGTGACAGAAAAAACAAGTGAGGCAAGTGTCAAACTGAATTACCTGTGATCCCGAAGATGATCTTGTCTCCTAAAGGCCTTGCCGCAGATGTCACACGAGTAAGGTCTCTCGTCAGTATGAGTCCTTTCGTGTATAAGAAGATTGTAGCTCTTGGTGAACTGTCTGTTACAAAATTTGCAGATGAACTGTTTCTTGGGTCGCTGACCAGGTACTCGTCGGCTGAGGAATGAGGCCGGCGGTGGTACTTGCATCCCTGGATGGATCAACGGATGCTGCGGTCCGTGATGGTGAGGTGAGGTTTGCGGACAGCAGCCCCTAACGGCCAAGAGAGCAGCACCCCGTAACCAGTGGTCCAGAAAGGTTGCGTGATAACCAGCCGGATGTGCCTGATGATGTTGCTGATGTGGTACGTGAAGCTGGGAGCGAATCCATCGCGGTGGTGACGTTCTATGGGGATGGACCAGCTCGCCGGAGGGAGGCGTATGGGGTGGCGTTAGAGGCTCCATCTTGGTTTCCATTATCTGAGAAGCCTCTTTATCCCTCAGCAAGTATTCACGGTGTGTGCTTTTCAAATTTGTCTTCTTAGGTTGGTAACAATTTTATATTATTATTTCACCATTCACATTCACTTCACTGCTCCCTGCCTTAAAGTCCCATGTACTTATGAGCACCTTGGTTCCTTCTCTACAGGGTGGTCCCTTCTACTTTGGAACAAGTACCGAAAAGTGCCTGCCTGATGTATTGGTGGGAACGTGAGGTCAAAAAAAAAGAACAAGAAGCTCTCTACTCGAGGGTTCGAGCGATACTGAAGTGTGCAACGAGTCCTTCGGGTTTACCTGACACAGGAGGTGGCGGCTCCTCCCGTTCGGGAAGTTTGGACTCCCGGTTGGCGGCGACTTCCACAGGGGCGTGGCTTCCGGGACGGCGCCTCAGGGCGTCGCGACGCTACCCCTGCTTGTTCCTAGTTTCGTTCTACCATACGGAACCTTTACTCGTTCTTATACGCTTTTACGACCAATACCAACACTCTACCAAACTATCGCTGCCAATAGCACGACAACGCTACCACCACCAGTCACGGTCATATGTTAAAAGCGGACTTTATTATTACGTCAGAGTTGCCTTTTTTTTATCAATACTGATAACACTCTCTTGTCGCTCGTATGCATCTGCACAATCGTGCCTATAAACGTTGCATTCGATCAAGCAGCATCCCTGCAAATTTTTAAAAAAAATTTTGCTATAGAGTCTAATCAATTTTTTTATTAATTTTTCCATCCACAAGTATAGCCAGCTCACGAAAATTGTGGGCAGAAAGAATTTGCAATGTCTTATCGTTAATCCGTATTGGATACTAATAACAATTAAATTATTGCTCAAGTATCAAGTTGGCTTTTGCAGCAGATCTTTTGTAGTATTAAACAAAAATTGTAACGTGATTCTAACGGTATTCGGTACCACGTAAGATATTAATGATAATATAGATATTAGAGGTAGAAATGAACATACGCTTAATAGGTTTGACTCATACGGTAGATAAAGGTCTAACGTAACACTTTTACTTTAATCTCAATCGGTACTAATAAACTCGTTACAATCGCCTGGTACCGACTCACTGATCGATATCGAAAGATTGACTCCTCTCTTTCAACATTTCATTCCCGATTTACTCCTAGGCGGAGTTCTGCTGATTAAATCTTCGATAGCTGATAAATTTCCTAATTAACTAATTGCTACCAACCGGTAGCCGATGCAGGTGACCGATACTCTGATGAATGACGCTGATTATAAAGACTTCTTTTTTTTCTTGTACGCTTTTTATTTTTAAATAATTCTAAACATATTCCGTACTTTGAATTAAAATCTGGGACTATAGATTAAATAATTATCGAATGAGCTGTGTTAATTAAAATGTAGACGTATATCATTCGTTTTTTTTAAATGACGTAGAAGGTACAGTCTGGTGGGTGCATTTTAATAATATTCTTGATAATACCAGCAGAGCCTGTAATTTAGATTATTCAAATAGCTATCCAAAAAATTAGAAGAAGGAGCAGCCATACCTCGGCATGCTCCAGATCTTTTTGGTTTTTTTTTTTTTCTTATATAATGCTTTTAGACACTTTTTTCCTCCCTTGTAAATAAGGAAGTCTGACAGTGGGTCTGTTCAGGTGATAGTGTCAAGGGCGGTCTGTTAGTAATATTTCTAATCTTCAATCACTACTTCATGTTTAATTATTATATGCCTACGGTGTATTTGTATATGTGTTTTTAAATATTTCTACACTATCAGAATCACTTAACTCTGCTTAAGTTCAGTAGTTACTTAATTTTTTTATGTCGGGATCTTATACAAAATTTTTAAATGTTTCTGTAGCTTCAAGGACAAAAGAGGAATAGGCTAGAATAAAGTAATGATGGAGTTCGAATAAAATTTTATAATAAAAAACACCAATGAACAATGAATTGCGAATGCTTATGCTTACGTTGTAAAAAGGCCCTGAAGAAATTTCAATAAATAACCCAATGTTATTTATAAATTCATTATTATTCCCGACGTATGTAGATTCAACAATTTTTAATCGTCACCCTTGAAAATTACTGCTAGATGTGCAAAGGTATTCTTCCACTATATCGCAATAATCGAATAGCAGATTAATTGTATTTTTAATTAAATAATTTCTTGAGATCGAAGCGTAGATCTTTAATTATCAATCAACTGTACCCCATTGACCCACAACTACCCTGGATATCGTGGAATGGAACAAAGGATCAGCGTATGATAAAATATGGTTGGGTTATAAAAAATCAGAGTTATCTATTGAAAATCAGAATAAGGATTTGCAGAGATAAGAAAGTATCCATAAAAAAGCATATAATTCATTAAAATGACTTTTTTCTCTAACCAATATTTCCTTCCTTACATATAACTCATTCAACTCTCTTGCATTTATTATAATCAGACATATACAAACCCCCCAAAAAACCACAGATCGTCCATTTTTTGTTAACGTATTTTTTATTCACATTTTTTTCTCGGTACCTCTCAAAGCCCAACCCGTTACTGACATAATGATAATATCGAGTGCGGCCTGTTAGTAGCTCTATAATCTACCCCTTTCTCGCTGTGCGAGTAACATCTGGTTACCCGGTATATTTATCGCGAGATTATGTCAAAGAACAGGTATGTTTCCTGAGGAGCTTACAATACTCGTGGAAGACCCCGTGTATACGCATGGAATTTGAAAATAATAAATAAAATAAAAAATAATAACCTCTAAGTCGATATATAGTTATACGAGAATGTAGCAGATTGCAGATTAATACGATTTTCAAAATAGCTATAGATAAGTTCAGTGTACAATGATTATCTCTTCACCGGTATTTATCATTGACGTCAAGGCCATAAAACGTAATCGTTTACTCCTTTTCAAGAAAAAAACATTTAACAGCTGGAAAAAAAGTCATCCTGTCTTATATTCTGATTCGTTATCAACGTTAAAGCATAGGTACTGTACGTTACGATTCTGCAACGATATTAACAAATCGCCAAGCAATGACGTGGATACCAAGAGAGATTGGATTGGGATCGATAAACGAGATTCTCGGACTCCCTGGGAGTCTCGGCTCTGTATCTCCGAGACTCACTCGAAACATAGATTATACTATGTAGATCATTAATTGGAACACGCTCTTTTTTTTTCGGCAACAAGTTTTTTCGACTCCCGCTGACGCCGGATCGGTAATCTTATTATGCGCTAACGATGTTACCCAGCGTGATATTACCAGGGCTACCAACGTGCTTTCTTCGTGAACTCGCGCCGTTACGAGCGCTACCGGATCTTTAATTTCGACATTCAAATTCCCCGCGCAATTGCTTACCTATTCGATAACACTTGCTCATTATGTTAGTCACGAATGCACCGATAATAGTATTGCTAATCTACTTTATCGAACCTCAAACAATAGGTGGGACACACCTCAGTATGTGCTGAGCGATAGCGGACGATTACGTTTGGCGGGAAATTCTTTGGATTTTGAATTTTTTTTACGTCTTTCGGGTGACGAATGAGTTTGCGCTTAACATTTTTGTTGTCTAACGTGTTAGGAGTTTTATGTTACTTTGAAAAACAAAATTTTATTGAATCCATAGTGCATACTTCGATCTATAGTAACGTTATCGATAGCGGCACACGCAGTTAAACGTTCTTATCCATTTATGGCGGAGCAGACAGCGCGTCACTGCGATAGAATCACTCGAGCCACTCGGGAGACATCAACGAGCCTTTTCATCACATATTCTTGTTATTATCTATGTTGTGTAACGATACATGGAAAATTGAGCTAATTATGTTTTTTTTTGGTGAATTTTCACAAGTCATGCGTTATTATTAATTATCGATAACAATGTAAGGAATGTATTCACGGAAATTGATTAGGGAAGCGGTATCGGAAATTTTTGAAAATTATCTCCGACTATAATTGATTTTTGTGTTTCCGATTGTATATCGGTAGGCGTCATGACGCGTAGACATCATACGTATCATGGATTTCGAAGAAATTTTTTGGAGGGCGATAATAGCCATTTGATAAGGTAGCAGATAATGGGGTATTGGTTTATTTATTAAGAAGTTTAAAAAAAAAATAAAAAAAATTTGAGGCCTTTTTTCTGACAAAATATGAATTGCTTTGTATTAAATGAATTTGATATTAGTAGATATATCTAGGTAACAGATTGATCGAAGTAGTACACAATTATGAATTTTTGGAAAAAGTTTTGGATTTGTTTTTCTGGTTACTCTTATATAGAAAATCTGTCATCGAGACACAATCAGTCTACTATGGAATAAGCGTAGGTACATGTAAAGACATTTATAAGGGATGATGGTGGTGGTAGGTGGTTGGGGGTTGCAGAGGGGGGTGTCTGCCTGATGGAGCTAGAAACTGAATTAACCACCCACGCCCGGGGCCGACGATCTTCAACGCGCAATCTCATCTCAACATCCATTATATCTGTCTTTGTATGCTAAACATTTTGCGAAATTATACAGACTCTCTTTTTCGCCTCGCCAGAATAAAGGCCTTCTTGAAAATATGTGCTTTGACTGAAACTAGAAGATATTTTGGAGTAAAACGTGAAAATGGTATATCAAAAAACATTAAATCGCCAGGTTGAAAACATTTTAACTGTTTTGTGCAACATGATTATTATATGTTTCGAATAACTTTCAAAATATATGAAAATTAAAATTTTTCTTAATTCGACCCTAACATGGAGTATCATTAAAATTTTAAAGTTTCCAAAATTTAATAATTTAATAATTTTTTTACTGATAATTATTCAAATGTGCCAAACATCTATCAAGGATATATGAAATCTGTACATTTAAGATATAACTCGTAAAATACAAAACATTCATCTATGCTCTTTTTACCTAAAACTATTGAATTTTTCATTCGAAATTTCAATATCAAGTCTAGGAAAAAATTTGATTTTTTTCGTCTGATTTTACATGAAATGCCGACAGCATTGGCCTAAGAGAGTATACAAGTGAGTGATAACTTCTTAACGCTTATGTATACAATTCATGATATATGTATAACTGCAAAGATTCGGGTGTGAAAGATTCGTGAAGAAGAGGAAAGCAGACAGCGTGGCCTTAGCCGTGCATGTTATGCACGGGGCTGCACAAGCAGGATGCACCAAGATGCACCAGAATGCATTCAGGAGGTCCATCTGCGTTATAACTTCTGAAACTAATCACCGTCTTCACAGGAACGTGAAAATGTTATCGGGTCGTATCTAAACGAGTAGAAGGGCCCACTCGAACTACTCGAGAATAGGGCCCATCCCTAGCACTGCTGCACTCTTTGAAGGACCCTTTCTACAGCTTTCCTCGTGACATTTCTCTCTTCGTCGTTTCCCAATGTATATGTTTACATCAGTATTGAATTACGATAAACTGTCAAAAATATGTATCAGCAGCTTAACGTTTTTTTTTACAAAATAATTAAATTTCTTTAAAAAACCCCAAACCAATCACTCGTGACAAATTATATTTCAAAAGTCAAATGTCAAGAAAATTTTTATCTGGATTGTAGTATTTCAAATTACAGCCTTATTGCTTTGACTAGTGTTTATACTTTTTGGAAATAACGACTGTTGTACTCGAACCACAATGGGAACAATTTGATCTTTATATTTATTAGGTATTATCCGTAGGTCGTAATACTTGGCAAGTTGATCTTCGTTTCATGAACAAAAGTATAAATATTGAAGAACGTGTTAATCCTGGTTTATATTTATTGTTTGATATACTTTTGAATGTTATATGGGAAATTATTTTGTTCAGTATAGCCATGAATTATACAGGTTTCTTAATTGGCTTTCGTTCAAGTCTTATAAATACATGAAATACGTATTTGCTGTCTTACAATCATCCACGTGGATAATTTTAATAAACGTCATAGCTAAGGTACCTACTGCGCTGCACATTGGTCGAATGAGGGCTAAATTTGTTTTTTGAATTTTACAAAGTTAATTATATTAACTGACAGTAGTGGAGGGCGATTTGTATTACAGCACGTGTTTTATAACCTAGAGAAACGTTTATGTATAGCAATGTATTTGCTGAAGAATTAAGTGATCAATGCTAACTTTCATAGCACATTTTTGTTGAGTATTTTCGAAAAATAAACCGTAACTTCGTATCGATTTCAATGCGTCGCAGTTAATTCGGTTTCTTGAAAGTTGCTCTACGAAATCACCAAATGAATTTTATTTGTAGTGTTGACCGTTTAAAAATTACAACCTACCGTTAAATCGGTGAATTCGTGGAGCAACTTTTGAGAGACGGAATGAGCTACGGCGCATTAAAATCGGTATAAATTTATAAAAATAATTCAATTAAGTAACCTCGCCTGGTACACCACGTAAAACTGATGTATTAAAGGAATTTATAATTTCATTAATTTGAATTTTTTAAATTTTATTTCAAAGGCTCCTTATAATGTTTAATATACTATATGCAGGAATTATTGCGAAAATTTAAAAAAAATGGAATTCAGGGGGAATTCCTTAACCGCGTACCTACAGTCCACTTGTACATACAACTCACGAGTATTTGCTGGAAAAATATTGAATATTTGCGTTTGTGCAAACCTCTGAGGATTTCGTGGTACTTTCTGGCATTTGCGCGAAATTCAAATTTACCCAGCATGCCCCGGAAATCCTGACAAGCCTCCGCGGCTTTTCTCTATATTTTTTTTTTCTTACCGCATCTGTTTTCACTTCTTCTTACTTTACCTGCGTTGTTCTATTTCCATTAACTTCATCGACTGACTAAGAAAATGCCACGAGTATTCAGTTCTGCTCAAGTCCACCTCGACAATACAATTTTAGTATTTCTTTATTACCAGCCTTTCCTTCCCCTTTCCTTCTTAACTGGAGGGAACAAAAAATGTTAACCCAGTACCTACTACTGGGTCTCTAGGTCTTTTGTATAATTTGTTTTACTGTTCCAACAACGTCATAAGATCTAAAGATATACCGGCAGGAAGTACTGCTGGGGTATAAGACGTTACGTTAATGAAAATCAAAAACATTAATAGACCTGAGAAATTTGGTTTAAGCCTATACATACGTCAAAAATGAAACAGAATATTTGCTTCAACGGTATATGCAATTTATATTATATTTTTGATTGGTCAAAAAATTTCTCAAACATTTCGGTTCTTTTCACTTGCAGCCAGTTTCGAAAGTGAGAACGGAAAAATGACCGATATTAAAATCAGCCAGAGAAAAGAGGCCTGTTCCGCTACTGCACAGCGGCCAGTCGTAAAAATAATAAACATAAAAGCATAAACCATTGTTCATGAATTACAGAGTAAAAACCCGTCCCTCCTAACACCCTCTGGTCTTTAGGTCTACTTCAAGTCCAAATATTGCTTTAGCATGTCTATTTACGTTATTATACCAGCCTTAGAAAATAAGGGTTGCTTCATAAACAACGGCTCTAAAATTCAAACTGCATTTTCCAAAATCGATTCAACTAAACATATTCACCATGAAAGCTCTCTTCGTCGGTAGCACTTTATCACTGACCTGTTACAAAAATTACTGTTTTTTACCTCTTTCGAAAAATTTACAATAGCATCATTTTAAATTTAAAAATAATCTTTTTATGGACACTAAGAACCTTAGTTGACTTCTACCAATTTTTTATAAAGGGACACTCCAATTTTTACTATATTTTGCGTATACCTTTACTTGCGCTTTTACCGTTTTTCAAAAATACTTCACGTGGACTACCTGCTGCGAAAATTAGGTCAACAGGCTTTATGGTATTAGTAAGCTTTAAAAGTAAACCCATATTTCGGCTTACTTAGTTTTTCGGCAAAGTCCTACTGTATTGGATGAGAGCATGCTCCTTCATACCTGGTATTATTATAGAGAGATGTAGTCCGTTATCGCACAATAACATCCTAAAATAATGTTCAACAGAAACCCTAATCCACAAAAGACTTGACCACCGTGTTCTCACACTGTTTCGTTTTATATCGAGTCAAATTATTATTAGATCAATTATCACATAAAAAACGGAACTTTTCCACGTGTCGGTTGTAAACCTAAAAAAAATCTTCTAAATCACTATAGAACTTGAAAACCATTTAATAGAAAAAGATAACGTTCTTGTTATTATTCCCACTTTTCTTAAGCGGTTAAAATAATTATCAATTAATGATCGCGATTATTTATCGAATTGCAGTTACTCATTATTTAATATTGTTTAAGACTCTTTTGTAATCAAAATACGTAACAAAAATTAACCCCAAAAAATTCTTCAGCCTTTAAGCTCCATTTCTAATTATCGAATCCATTGGAAATAATGACTTTGTTTTAATGACAAACGGGTGCGTCGACGGGGTGTTACTAGAAATACACATATGGATTTTTGGAGTATGTATACTCACTTAGGCGGAATATCTGCTTAGTCTCAACAGCAGAACAGATGCCCAATGCTCTTCCATCGTACAGTTCAGGGTGTCACATACCACGTTCGGAGAGTACGTGTGTGGCCATGAAGAGAGGAGCCGTCGATACGCAGAATTCCAAAGAACTAAAGTTACCACGTGGCTGCTGAGAAACAAGAATATATGAATAAACATACCGTTTTCCAAATGCTGGCATAACGCTGGGTGGCCATTGTTGTTAATGATTAGAATCAAAGCAGAAGTCAGTTGGTGAGCGACATATTTTCTACAGCGAATATTTGCATTTAATTCTAAGGCAATAGTCTTATTGATAGGCTAGGTTAGGTTTCATATTTACGTATCTAAGAATTTCTAGACAGTCATAATAAGTCATGCTACTGACAGGACTCCCAAAATCATGTGGCAGTCCAATAAATAAAGTCACGTTTCACTCGAGCCCAATTAACGCTCGCAGTGTTTATTTTTGTTCGCGAGGCATCTGTCCAGTTGCGATCGTCGTTCAGACCACTTGAAACTGAGAGCTATCGGGAGTTTATCGTCTGATTCTTTACGTTTTGTTTTCGCAGTCGCACCATTGTTTGGATAAAGTGTTTACTGGATGAATATCTATCGATCGGTAGTTGAGTAGCTCAGTGCAGAATGGTTCACACGACATATAAAATTAGACATTAGAAAACTATATTTTGCATGACTTAACCTATAACATACGTACGTTGTCGTTCTTCTGCGACACAGCCTACGTATTTCGGTTGGTGTATTGAAAAAGAAACGAATAAAGTTGGTCAAGAAATATCTCGTGAAATAACATTATTCAGTGATAGGCTTCATATTTTACTAAGAACTTGAAGTACGAACATTTATATTTGACGCTTCGCCGATGAACTGGTGCTCCTCGTGCATTATAAAAAGCTATGAGTGTTTTCGCAGTGTCGGACAAGGCTGGAAAATGACTTATTGTTAGTTGAGTGGCAGTGCGCGTGGCAGCGCTAGTATGCAGTTACCAACTCAGTGACAATTTATACGATCGGATCCAATATCTAGGGACATTATATATCACAGGACTGAACGTCCCGGCTGGAAGTCCGAACACACATCGCACACACATAAAATGAGTTGCGTCGCTATGAGATAGCGGCGCCTTTGATGTTCGCCCCACCTTCACGAATGCTTCGGTTCCGACGGCACCTTGGCGTGTGTCGTTTTCCTACGACACTCACAGTATTCATGATATTCACACCTACGAAATTCACGTTGACATCCTGGAATACTCAAAATCTAAAACTTCTCCGCACCTCCTGACTTTACGATGTATTCTAAGAACTTTCTTAGCAGCAATCACCTCTGTTCTGATTAATACCGATGGTCTTAAAAGTGCTCGGTTATTCTTATCGTTGATACAATATAATTGCCTATAGGCTTCGTTAGCTTTAGATAGAAATATATGTATTCATTGGAGTGTCTGGATTGTAGAAAAAATGTATGAAATTATTACAATTTTTATACAAACTACGTCTTAAGTACGTGCAACGTTTTATAATACATTTTTAATTGAACTTGCACATTTAAATGTTAACGGAATATTATCTAATGAATTATAATATAGAATTATATTAATCTAATACTGATGCCCATACGATATGCATATATATAATAATTTTTTATAATTTTTCTTTTCTAAATTTAATGTCTTTATATATTGATATTCTAATGCATGCTTTATGAAGGTGCATTGTGTTTGATTGAAATAATTATTTTTTTTCATACTTTCTAAAGGTTGTATAATAATATACACATAGGTGGACTCGTATTGCGTTGTATGTTGGGTAGCCTGTTGTAAAGTTACGGTAAACCTAAATAATCCAGGACATCAGTAAGACCGCCGCGCGGCGTATAAAGAGAAAACACGAAGCGGTCGACTCGGCCTCGTATTGACAGGAGTTGGACGAGAGGAAGACGAGGACGTACCTCGTGAGTAGGTATCGGGGAAATCTTATCGTTGTGCAAAGCATTAGCTGGTCGTGCTTTGCGGGGCTTTGAAGATTTGCGGAAGGCCGCTTCTAAGAAATATCCGTAGACATCTCAACTCTGGCTCGAAAGAATCGCGAGACTTATCGATAATAATATCGTTATCAGGCTACAATCGTACGAACGCGCTCCCGTTGGGATTACGGAATTTCGATTTGTTTTTTTTTTTCTTATTGCGTGATTTAAGAACGGCCAATTGAATTGATTGAAGAATTGACGCCAATAGATTAATCGACATCGTTCGACACTTCACCAAAATATATTATTGAGCAATACTCTTGCCACGCTCAAAATTTTTTATTACTTCGATCTTACGCGATATTAATGCGAAGTTAGTCGACTATCGAGAATATTACTATTACATTTACTATATCTATGTTCACGCACTACAATTTAAGATAGAAGATATAAATGTATATACTTGGTTAAATAATAATATCTATGGATTTTTTTCCTACGGATGACTTCTGTTGATAATGCTTATCGATAAGGAACGATTGTCGATTCTAGTAGTAAGTAGGATAAATATTCTTGAGAGATCTTTCAAGCTGTTTCTTAAAATAACTCATGTGTGAAACGTTGCTACAAGTTAATGTCTATAACGATATATTTATCTTGGCAAGATAGTTTCTAATTTGTTTTTGCGTTTTGACAATTTTTTTTAATCAAATCAAACGAAATGCATATACAAACTTTTGAAGTATATTTTCTTCCTTTTATTTGTATATGAATACATATATACTACAATAAGTAAAACTATAAATTTATAATATTTAGACCCAATTCTCGTTGAGCCGTGCCTCTTATAAGGCTTATTCTTATTTAAATCGGCCATTTTGAATTATGATGTCAGAAGCGAAAAAACATATTTCTGTCTTTCTATAGAAACTAATAATTCTTTCTGAATTACTCTCGTCTGATTTATCTTATATGTGTGAGAGACTGCATTGACCGTGCAGACAGAGGTGTGGTCCATATTTTTATAACGTCACAAAACGACTTCGTAGTTTCTTCCTTATCAGCATGGATCTATATGATCCAAATTTGATTGAAATATGTCGCATAAGGGAATTTCTAGTTTCTCATCAGGATAGGGAAGAGTTTTAATCCGCCCTTATGTAAGAATACATATAGTGACAATAGGTGAAACGAGATTATTGCCCGATAATCCATTTATATCAAAGAGATAACTGGGATGCGAAGAGCTTAATAAAATCTTTCTTATATCTGCCGCCATGAACGTTCATTACTATGTTGCAGCTAATAAATATTTCTTAAAATCTAAAATATATCAACATACACTTTTATTGTCTGGCGCAGTGAATTTAATGAAAAGTCAGATTTTTTCATTAGCTACGGTGAAGGCATTACTAGAACTTCTATACTTTCTTTTTTTTTTCGCGGGCATATACAAAGTCCAAGAGTGCGTCGTTAACGTCCAACGAGGCATTTGACCCGTGTTAAAAGGTTTATGCATGGTTTGCTGCGGTTCAGAGTTGTGGTCTGCTACGTGTCAGTCGACGTTCTCTCTATGACTGCACGTTGTGCACCACAAATTGACTCTGGGGGACCCTTTACAAGTCGCAGTGTAGGTGAACAGTTCAATTTTATTTAGTTTTCTTTTTTTTTAATTATTCATTGAGAGATTCACTTCACTTTGAGAAGGAAGAACGCATAAATAAGATACAATGATTATATGCAATTCTTTGTCGCGTGGTATCCGCACTAAATATTTTTGAAAAAGCGAATATCACAAAAATTTAAAATTTCAAGAATTTCTAAAATTTAGTATAAATTTTTATGTTTTTGAGAATTACTGTCAAAGCTGATTCTTTATAAATGAATACGACTTGAGCGTATTAACCACTGAATCAAAAGCGAAGATGGATGAAAAAATTTTGAAAATTTTGACACCTTTATATTCGTATATAATTATAATAATTCGGCTGATTTTCGTAAAAAAACGTTACGGTTGTTTTGTACAAGAGAAAAGTATCGAAAAAAAACGTAAACGCGATCAAGAATTATTTAGTCCTGACCGGAAGTATCCGCGTGCAACGTAATATTCATGATTTCCATTTGTCCTTCGGTGTCAAAAGCGTAAAGCATGAGAACCGGACCCAAAGATCGGCACGCTCCCAGTAGCCTTGGATCCTCGTAGTCAACCACCCGCTGCCTGTCGTTTTAATGAAACTAAGTAATCTCGAAAACAGGGAATTGTAGCCTCGTAAAGGGACGGACAATGCCCTTGTAAATATGAAAGTTTCCAGGGCCTTAAGAATCTCCGGTTGGCTCGTGCAGTAAACTGTAGCAATTCCATAGCTCGTAGGTACAGAGGGGCCTCTCTCGTTGGGCATCCAAGGCAGTTTCAAGCACGAGGAAGAAACGGAATGGGTATTGCTGGCTCCATTATGGGGTCCCATAAAACACCTCTGGTACTGGAGGCGCGTGGCCTCAAGGCCGACCTGCCACTTCGTCATCCTACCCGCTGCCTACATGAAAGTTAACATACATCCTTTTACACACTGTGCTACGCTTCTTACGTTTCTTCCACTCGTACGCCGCCATTTTGATCTGTCATAGTGACTCACTTTGTTCACCGTTTCAAAGCCCGGAACACACAGGACAACATTTCCCGTGATCTCTATGTTGATAAAGGAATGGGGTTTCCCTGAGTAGTCAGTGCCAATTACGTCACAGTTTGTAATCGACGAGTAACGAGTCATACGCGTTACTATACTTCTCGTATACGAGTAATGTCACTCGGAAGAGAGGATCATGTGATTTTGAACACAACTTTAATCGATTAATTTTACAAAAAATTAACCCTTACAGCATATCCTGTAAAAAATAGATTTATAGTTACTAAATTTTATTGGCTGATAACATAACTATAGCTATGTGATTGGTTGAAATTCGAAAATATTAATTGCGGCATAGTTGCGGAATTATTACTTTGACTGATGCGACTATGATGCGAAAAGAGATCGTGAGGATTCTCTGATAATATTTATTTCATTGAATTTATTTACTGGTGAACTGGTTATCAGTTCAGGTGCCCAGTTAAGCAATTCGACGAATATTAATAATATTTATTAACATGTAACTTTGATATGAGTCATTTTACTTGTGTTCCTACATATAGTCGATCAGCGAGTTCAATATGTTTTTTTGACAGTTCGCAAGCAATGCAATCCTTACACGTGGTTTTTCATAAAATGTAAGTATATGCTAAAATAAAAAAAATTGAATATATTAAATTCAAAAAAGCATGCATATGTATATTTTGTGACAAATATTTTATACAATGACACGTGTGTCTTACTAGAGACTTTATTGTTATCGATCTGTCAAAAAACCACATGGAACTCGTGAACTGACTGCGTTTTGTAATACTTCTACTTTCAACTGGTGTTCATCACGAATCATTGCATGAGTCAAATGTTTATCGGTATCATGACAATGTGTATTACCGAGCTTGGTGCTTTCAGTCTTCGAATAGATAATATTTGGTATAATGACGCAATCATTCTAGGCTACTTCGTATTAAGAAATTGTCGATCAATGACGTATCGTCCACTCGTGTCTAAGTAGGAAAATTTGTAAATATACTTTTTTAGATGAAATCACAAGACGACTAATGCCGACGATTAGCACGTAGCTTTCTCATGTCGGATTCTTAGAGCGGTTTTATTTCAAACGCTGCCACATATTGGGCTACGATTACTGAGGATCGATAGTCGAATCAGTGCGATCGATCGATTTGACTGATTGACTGTCGAGTAATTATAAAAATTACTTTTCACCAATTTTAATGTACTGACTGACGTTATCTGTCACCATATTTTCTGGAAGACATATCTTCTTACGTGTCTTAATTTAAAAATTTTTTTATCGATGAGATTTCTAATTTCAGATTAGACATCGATAGTGGATTTAGATGTATCGTGATTAATTTTTCTATAGACTTTAATTGCTATGAATTTCTATGTGGAAATTTAATCTGATTGTCAATTAATAAAAGACTGATAAAATTTCTGAATTTCAACTTAACCGTCCGGTCAATAACCAGGTCAATACCCGGGTATCCATTTCAGTTTGCAATGTAGAAGTTATTAACTTCCCCTGAAAAAATTTTTTTGAACGCTCGGATCCCCACAGTTGAAGTAGTTTGACGTCAGTTTTTCGTCAAAATTTGTTTAATTCATTCATTTAATAAAAGTTATTAACTATCAAAGTCAATATCTCCTCCGTTCAGTGACCGGGTACCCGGGTACTCACTTAGGTCATTATGTATGAAAGCCGTGTTTATACACACTAGAAAGACCATTTATTAAAGTATTTATGTAACTTGACTTTTTAATAAATAATCAACAATATAGTTTGTAATTTCCTTGATTTGAACAATTTTGATTATAAACAATAGTAAAGGTAGTAGGTAAAAAAATGTCATTCACTTTTTTTATTTTAGTTATTTTTTCTTTTATTTATAATAATACAGTGGCATGTCAAAAAATAGGTAAATTTAATTATTTTGCACACTCCTGACATGTCGTGGTTGAAGTAGAATGTTCATCACAAATAGGTAACTCACATACAGAGCAAGATTTCCGAATTTCGTTTTTTGAATTCGTTCCGAAGACAAGCATAGCATACACCAGTAATCTTTTTTCTCCCGGTTGACTCGAGCTGTGCCTGAGGTATTGAAGATCCAGATGCTGTTGGCTGCACATATGGATCTACCAAAAAAACTGTCAATCGCCACTTTCGTTGTAAAATGCCTCATGATTTGAGGATTATGCGAAGGATCTTCGACGAATGGAGTACACAGCTCTCTGCCCAGTTGCCGATAAAATAATCGTCGTTCATACGATTCTTTCGGATGCACTTTATTGTTCTCATAATAAAGAATACATGCAGCAAGGCAGGCGACATCGAGAATATTGTAGAAAAATGCTAAAAGCCACCTTTGAGTTGATCTTCTTGTAGTATATCTTCCAAGCATTTTATCCATCGTGTCCACTCCAGCTTTTGACAAGTTATAAAATTCAATAATTTCGGGTTTTTTCTTTGCACCATCACCACTTTTTGCTTCCTGATGCATTGATGATAGCATAATCACTGCCTTTTTTTTTCTTTGGCACATAACTGCACATAGTTATATTTTCATGAAAGCCAAACACAGTATATAATTCTTCTCGTGTTTTCAATGCAGCCATCGCTGGTGGAATGTACGTTTTATTTTTCTTCAAAGTGCCAAAAATTTTTAAATCCCAGAATACTAAAAATTTTGCTAATGGCGGAGTAGTGAAGTAATTATCCATTGTAATGTTTCTACCGGATCCTTTGTACGGTGCCACCAAGTCTTTGACAACCCTCTCACCAACGTTTTTCTCACGACCGGCACTCGACTGTCCAGTGTAAAGCTGTCCACTAAGTGGATACGAATTTTCAGCATCACGTATCCACCTTACCTTATACCTTGATTCCATACTTGGCTGGCTTTGATGGAATATACTGAGTGAATTTAGTTCGACCTCGGTATGGGTAAAGTTGCTCGTTGATTCTCAGGTGCTCCGTTGGCTTATAATTTTTTGCCAAATTACTATTCAGCATTTTCCAAATGTCTCGTATCGGAGCAGCTTTACCCAGGTACCTGAAGATTGTTGGATTTCGCTATTGTTGATTAAAATTCCACGAAGTTAACTGGAACCGCTTAGCCAATTGGCGCGCAGTATGTGGGTACCCGGGTACCCGGTCATTGAACGAATGGTGAAAGTTTGGTTATTGACCGGACGGTTAAGGAATATCATGATGCGTCTATTTACGTAATATATTTATTTATATTAGATTAGAAAAAAAATCTGATAACTAAATATCGTGAGAATTTGTCTATCGTCAACAGTTAAGTAGTGAACTTCAGTGACTTTTACAATCCGACAAAAAAAAAGACAAGAAGCAGCAACTGCAGCAGCAACGACTGTAGGACGGTAGTTACGTAGGTAAAGGATCCCATGCGATTCTACAGGATTTCATAGATCCGTGGATCCATGGATCCAAAAGGATAGCCGGGTATATGGCGGCACTAAACAGATTCGTCAAAGCCACGCGACCGTGTCCCTGAAGTCCCGTACCCAGTTCAGCAATCCTAAAGTCTTCGTGTTCTAAACCAATGACCATTTCCAATGTTTTGAGCATCGGTACGGTTGGCAACCTTGAGGACCTCATCGACTACGCGTGTCGGCAACTGCAATCTCGTTATGATCACTCTTTCCTGTAACTTGTGAAAAGGACCTTCCAAGACGCCAACCAATAGGGAAACTATTCTTGTGTCAGTTTTCTGCGTTCCCAAAGACAGATGTTTGTCGGGCTAACAATACTAAAGTCTCGTACATCCGTAGCTGATCTATGATCTATGTAGATAAAAGTAAATCATGTACTAGAATAAATATGAATCAGGCATAGATCTTATAAAATCTATTAGTGGCAATTTTGACGAAAATAAAATTACTAGAAAATATTGAAAAAAATCTTAAGGCTCGTGACGTATGACTTTCATGGTCACGTCAGCAGAACCTTGAGGATGTATTTTACCGACGCGTGGCGAGAAACCAGAAGGTAAAAGGTCCTTTTTCACGTTCCCATTACAATTCCTGTCATTCTTTCAGATTCTTTCTGTACGAAAAAAGTACCCAAGAGTCCTTCTGGATGGGAAACAATATAGCACAGGATGATCAGTTTGTCTTTTGTCAAAATTATCTATCTGCCGAACATCTTCAATCTACAGTGTACCAGACCGATACCAAAATTATCAATTTGATCTTGCTTGCCAAGAAAATGAGGACATGCAAAAAGAGAGAAAGTGATAGTAAAACTAAGTCGATCGAAAATATCAATACGGAGCAAGCTTGAATTAATATCCAAACCGTGTTCGAATCTTTCACTCCGTTTCCCTATTGCTGCCTGTACATATCTGACTTGACTGCCTGCCGTGGTAATACCGTGTTTTCAACAGAGTCGCAGCCCGCAGTCCCGAATTCTCTGATCTCAGCGACTCCATCATCAGCGACTCGGTCCCGTAGATAAAAGCCAATTGAATTTAAATCATGAATACGAACGAAGCGAGCGAGGCGGTGCAAAGCCCAACGGCAATCTGGTGGCAGCTTTGTGCCGGTAATGGCTTCAACCCCTAGCCTCCGACCCCCCAACTCTCCCAACCCCTAAGCCAGAACCCACCTCTAGATCACCAACCCAGCCGTGTAGATATCTTCAACCAAAGCTCCACTATGTAGATACACCCTGCAGGAGGCAGGACCTTGCAAGGATAGGACAAGCAGCCCGATAACAGTTATTTGAAAGTATTGAAGGCTCAAGAATTTCTTGTTTTTATAACCCCTTTCTAAGTTGCAGATACCAATCCATATATGAATTATCAAAATAAATGAGATTTTTCAGTAATTCATTATTTGTGGATTTTACATTTTTTTTTACACGTATTTCATTCAACATATTTTGTAACATTTTTAATTACCATGATCTCGGCAGAAATACAATATATTATTCTATTGTACAGCTGTACTCAAGGGGTATAATCCAGTGCTTGAGGAACACTGATACAGTAACTAAAGTTCGTAAATGATAAACCTAATAATAACCAGATATGTAAATTATGTCACGAAAATTGCTCGCGATAATATTTATATACGAAATAATTTTTTATACAAAAAATCTATAAAAAATAATTTCAGGACGACCGTCTGTCAGGCGCCAGGACGCCTTCTCCGTTAACGTTCTCCTGTCTCCCGAAGGTCATAGCAACTCCCAGAGAGGGGAGACATGTTCCGCAAACATCATAAAACCGTCGCTTCTTAATCAGCCCTTATTAAAGGCCGGGTTGACTCCAGCTCGTACCTATACGCAGTCTCGTGACTACATAGAGGGTTGAGTTCGCCCTCTCATCCTGGGCAATCCCGTGCAGAGCAAATTCTATTTCGAAGGACCGGGACACTCCCTTGCAATTTACCCAGAATTCTCCACGATAAACGGCGACTGCCATTTGTCCATGTTATCTTCAGTAAAAGACATTGCAATTTGTCTCTCATCGGTACGTAGCTTTAAATGACATCGCTTACTGCGTCAGATTTTCAAGTGATTCACAGAGATAAATAAACATATAGATCTCGTAAGATAATTAATCTGTATATCGAATACAAAAGCGAACCCTCTATTTTGAGTCGCGACTCAGCTATGACCCCCTATAGATTTTTCAAAATTAAGACACACCCAGCATACCGAATATTGAGCATGCAAATATACCCTCCTAGATACGATCTTCTCATTGTGTATCGTAAATATCTAGGGAGTAGTTTCGGGAGCAATATAAGTACCCCAATAATCTAATAAACTCTCGTCTCTTAGGGCACGCTCGACTTCTGTAAGGCCCCCGGGGACCTGGCCCAGAATTACAAGTAAACGTTTCGGAAAGTGGCTGGCGCGAGCACTGGAGCCTGGTCGTCCCTTTCATGATTTACGGTATGTTTACCTGAAACGTAAGTACCTTGACGCATCCGTCACGCCGATGGCCATTACGCGTAAGAAAAACTAACTTTTCGACCCAAATTGTGCAAAGCTGTTTCTCGACTGTCCGACAAGGAAATTCAGTAAATGCTATTCGCATTGGACTCTTTCGCTTACCCCGTTCTCTCTATGGCTTCTACCTTTAACTGTTCGTTACAAGTAGAGAAAATAAATCTTTTTCTCAACCTTTATATATCGTAAATGGATATTCGCATGGCCTATATTTGTCTTTACCGTGTATTTCGTCCTAGGGATTTTCAAATATGGAGGGTTCAAAGTTTAAAATATTAGCGTAGAATATCTCACGAAGCATTGCCTTGTTTATACAACGCAAATATTTCGTAAGTTTCTATGCATTACAAATTCACGTTTACGGAGTAATGAAATTCATTATGGTTGTTAATAATATTATGTATCTTTTTTTTTTTTTTTGAAAATGAATATGCATAGGTATTTTGAACGGGAATAATTAGTATATAATTTATATGTTATTTGGAAAATTAATTTATAATAATACATAATACATTGTAAACTTTTAACTGGACGTACTGGGCAAGCAGTATTAACGTATCGACTGAAGTTGGTTCTAGTAGAAATCGAATGAAGAGGCTAACTTCAGTTGATGCGTTTGGCGTAAGTTTTTTTATTACGTCGAAGCCTACGTGTTATAGTTTCAATTTTGAGATCAAAACTCACTTTCGAAATTCTCTTATATTATACTTCCAGAAATATACTTATGAGACGTTGATTAAAACGTAAGAGGATTTTTAAAATAATTTTTCCTTGCATAAATATGGAAATTTAAAAAAAGTACAAAATCATATAAACATTTAGAATAGTTTTATTGAAATATTATTTAGCTGAGATACATTTTTTATATTTTGAGAATTGATCGAGTCTCTTGATTTATCAACTGTCAGTCATGACACTTGATGTGTTAACTTCTGTCGGTATTTCAGATCTTCCAATTCTACTAGCGAGTGACGGACTAATATACGAAACTACCCTTACTAATTGTTGATAAGAAAACTAGTCTCAGTTTTGTGTTATAATTGTAAGCGCAATAATATTTTTAGTTATTCAACACACGATATGATTTTGATTAGATAAGACAAGCATCCCAGTGACTAATTAGTTTGCAAAATAAAGTTGAACGTGCTTCTTTTGTACACATATATACAAAGATACATAAAGTACAAGTTGTCAATTTCTTACTTGTATAAGCGATAGTCCATTTCCTGGCACGATCAACATATCGCACGTAAATTTCCACTTACGAATCGTCAAGTGCCTTGTGCTCGTGTTTAATTAGATCTAGGAGTTCCTTAAACTATAAATTAAAATAGTTGTTGGGAACATAAAATTTAGATAGTTGATGATTAAAAATTGAGTCACCCTGTAGTGATTAACAATGCTGTTAATAATTTCTGTAAGAGCCATTATAAAAGTCATCATGGGTGTCAAGGGCTCAGTAGTCTGACGTAAACCGCCCCAAGTCTCACAGAGTTTAGGTATCTTAAAATGTACGTAATTACTTCCGGAATCTTAACAATAGCAGAATCAAATGAGAGTCTTATAAACGCATAAGAGAATACCAGTGATAAGGCTTTACTGGTCCACTGCACCTATCAATGGACCAGCAACAGTTGAGTACTGGTTCGCTTTTATGTGCTTGCTGGTGTACTGGTATAAAACAATACATACCAAAAACAGGTATTGTAAGATAGATTCGTCGAGGCAAAGCAAAACAGAAATGTGTCCAAAATACGTTTGAACGGTAACTGATAAGGCAACTTTCCTAGCGCGCCAAGCAAAATTTGATTCGAAATAAAATTTCGAGTATCGAAAATGTCCATGTTTGTCGTATAATTCTGTCCATTAAACTGAACCCTTTCTCTCTCTTGAGAAACATGAATGTAGTTAGGCCATTAAGGATTCTCTTTAGAATGCACGAACTGCACTTGCGCCAACTTCGTGGAATAATATATTATATAATTATATTAATAAATATATTATAATAAGTTTCTGATTCTTTAACAATGATTTTCTTAAATTTCATTCCAGAGCTTTGAACATTTTTGTTTCTCTGTTGAACTGGGATACTCGTTATTAACTTTAGGATTAAATTTTATGACACATTTATTATATACTGACAAAGCACACACATCCTGTAGAAGTTCTACAGATATTTTGTACTTTGTGGGTATTTACTTTGTGTAGAATATCGCACGGCGTGTATCGTTTCCAATAGTTCTACGGGCCGGACCCACTGGCGCACAGACCAATTGGACACAAATAACTTTTTACTGCAAATTCTATTCACTTTTAAATAGATGGAATAGAATTAGGTATTAACTACGCGATCCCTACTTCTAATTTCTTGAAAAAATGTCCGCTCGAATAGACAAAGAGGGACTGAGGTGGTGGCCAGTAGCTCTTCCTTTCTAATGCTCCCATTGGCTACGCTTTTTATACTCTCGTACTACGGCTGCTAATTAGAAAGAGACAGGACTTGGCCGCTACCAGTCGCAATTTCTTTCTTTCAGCCGACCATATTTTTCTATACTTGTGCGTAGTCATGCTATATGTCAATTTTTTAACATTACTTTACGCTAGGTTTGGTTAGGTTAGTTTAAGATAGAGTGAAATGTTTAAATTCCCGAGACTGGGTAGGTTAGTGGATAATAACATTAAATGGATAGATAGTAGCATTAAATGTTTGAAAAGGTTCCGTCAGATAAAGATAACTTACAGTATCGTTGAATTACTGATGAAATATCGCTCAGGAGATCGAAGGAGTATGATCGAAATATTTAGAACGATTGCGATTAAATAATTATGGAAATTAAACAATCACAATTTTTATTCAATTCGAATAACATCTATATACGTGATATACGTATTTGCATATATTATCGGTTTGCACGTGACAATTTACAAAAATTATTATTACAAATTGAAACCTACTCTGATGTTAAAATCTTGAAAATTTTGAAAGATTTATATATAGGAGATTCCTTTCACATACTGAAAAGTTATTATATTCAGCAATGTTAATATTAATTATGCTACCGCATTTCTTCAAGTCGGCGTGAAACCCTTTACATTCAATGTGTATCCTTATGTTTAAATATTTTGTATTTATTGTATGCAGTATTGAAAGAAGCCGGTTAACGTGGTTCAGTAATCACAATTATAATAGTAATAGGGAATCACGGATTAAACAGGCAGTGAACAACTTCAAGATTTTACGTTCAAAAATAAATGAGCGAATATATGTATATGGTAATCTCAACATTCCAACCAGAAATCATTACGTTCTACCGTACAAATATTAGGATATTGAATTTTCAAGTTATTTATTTTTATAGGTTGATTATTTCTTTATAGTGGAAATAGACACTTATAGACTTTTTATATTACAGAAACTATACGGCAAATCATGTTTAAAGTTTGGAGAGACGAAGATTTAGTTACTGTGAAATATATGAAACAAAATTAGGAATTATAACCTAGATTAGGTGTTACAACCTAAAAACAAACCCTAAATTTGTACCATTACCCGATTAAAGAGTTTAATTGTACAAGTATCATAATTTTAATAACAAAACTTCAACAACTCTCCATTATATTTTTGGCAACCTTCAACAATATTTGTTCAAATAAATACACACTAAAATAAAACATAAAGACGATGCTTTACGAATAATTGCCTCAATCCATTGTATATAATAATTCATCACAGCACAAGCAGTCATGCGTACTGTAAAAATACGCTATGTATAAAATAAAATACTATAAGATTTCAATGATACCATGAGATTTCAATAACTAAAAAACAAAAATGCGAAATAAATATTAGATTGTGAGCAACAAAGAAACTAAAAATACAGATGACAGCTAAACAAACATAAAACAAGGTGTTCAACGGGACACATCACTTTGGTATGAAACTACTGGAGTAGGAATATATTTTTTGTGAATTTTACTGTTGAAGACTGGGATCGGCAAAGCGTAAAAGTGTGGTTCAGCGGGAAATCGATTGCCAGCAATATCGATTTCATATCGGGCATTAGGATCCATTACATATTCAATAGTAATTACGGATGCATTAGAGTCTCCATGTGAATATCTTGCACCAGGAGAACCAATGAAACCCAAGCAAACGAGTTTATCGATTCCAAATCCATATCTGCAAATTACCAGTAATTAAGAAAAGCTAAATTAAAGAATAAGGTTTCTATCATATAATGACCTATTGGAATATATCAATAGAAATCTATAAATCACATTATCACAACAATGCCTTCAATTAAAATATCTTTACGTATTAACATTTGAATAAAAATTAAACTATTTTCATATTTTATAATCACATACCCTGCAGATGTAACCGTTCCAACATATTCACCATCACGATACACTGGTTCACCACCCCAGGCCCAAACGTCCTTATTTACATCAAGATCATTAAGAACAAATAAAACAAGTCTTTTAGTCACTCCTTGTTCCTTCTGACGTTGAAGAGCAAATTTCCCAATAAAGTATTCTTTCTACAAAAAAGAAATTCCATAAGAAAAGTGTATTAAAAGCTACTAAATTTCTAACTTTTATACTGAATTCTTAAACCATTTTAATAATTGAATACTTAGGGCAGTTTTCATACTTTTAAGTATACTTATAATTGCTTCATTATCGTAAACGATAATAAAATAGTATTATTGAAAATATCTAAGAAAAACTAATTTATCATACATCATATTATATCATATCATATCATACATACTAATTATACATACATCCAGTTTAACGCTATATCCATTTCCAGCTTCGTAGGGAGTAACGTAAGGGGTGAGTTCTTCTCCCCAAAAGGGGATGAATCTTTCTATTCTCATAAATCGTTGCGTCAGTACTCCGACGTCACGTGCACCATAATCCCTGCCTACCTCCATTAAAGTAGAATATACGTGAAGAGCATATTCTGATGGTATATAAAGGCAATAACCTGGTTCACCAGTGTGAGTGAATGCCATTACCATGACATCTGATGCATAGCCAACGTTTACTGACTGTGAAAAATAGAGATAATTTGCATTTTATTTTCAGAATGAATGTTGATCCAATAAATAAATTTGTGATAATTCACCTTGTAAGTAAAAGCGGTAAGATCGATATCCGAATTTGAAAATTCAGAAAGTAATTCTGTAGCTTTCGGACCGACTACATTGATTACTGTATACTTTGAGGTAACGTCATTAAGACCTACTGAATGATCCGACGGTAAATGTCTGAAAATTAATTAATTCTAATGGTACATTCAAAAGAACAATTTTTTGGTCCTACAACATATTGCACGATTCATGATAATCCATAATTGATCTTCGGTATTGATTCACCTGGACATCCATTGATAAATTCGAGTTTGCTGCGAAGTTGGTGATACCATGAAGTAACTATTCTCTGCTTTACGAACAAGCATGCAGTCATTCTCATAGCCACCTCTTTCATTTTGCATTCCCGTATGCGCTATACCACCCACTGGGATATTAACGTCATTTGAACATAATTGTTGTAGATAATTCATGACTTCCCAACGAGTAGACTGTTGAGAAATGAAGTAACGATTATTGACATGATTAAACAGCAAGTAGAACAATACTTTTATATTATCAAAACTGTATAGCAATATTCAGAGATAAGTAAGATCAACGAGACGATATTAGTAAAGAGGACCAGCTCTCGTGTATGTTGTGTCTTCAATGAAATGTATCACCCATTTCAACTCCTTTCAGAAGTTCTGTATTTATACTGTGTCCATTAGCTATCAGACACAAAGTTCCGCAAGACTGGTCCTGCTTACTAGTACTCCTCGGTGGTAACATATACCTTAATTTCAATTTTTGAGAAGGAGCTCATATCTATTATACCAACTCCTTCACGGCATGCATGAAATTCTTCTTTCATAAAGTCAAAAAATTTAGGTTTGTAGAAACTACCCGGTGGCATGACTGGTTTTTTCTGTCCACCTGCCAATTTAAATTACGTGTTTAAAATAAAATTACAATACTGAGTAAAATATAAAAAATGAGCAAAAAGATAATGCACATACGTCTATAAGTTGAATCAAAATAAAGTGCTCTCTCGTAAGCCATTTTAATACCAAAAACAGCACCTCGTTCTTCCAATACAGAGTAAAGTGGCGAGCAGCGTAATTTGCGAGCATATTTGTATTCGCATTGATGCGGATATAAAATGGCATAATTCCTCCCAACAACTTCTTTGACTCTTTGTTGAAGATATTGTTTATTGTTGTGAAGATCCAAAAATCGTTGAATATTAAATGGTAATAATTCTTGTGTTGGTTCACCGTTAATCAACCATTCCGCGATTTCTTTTCCTATTCCACCAGCGCCTAGAAAATAATATGACAAATTACATATGTATTAAGAAATGTATTTATTTAATAGTATAAGAATGAAACGAATATAACTTTAAAAAATATTAATTGCAGAAGTATCTAATATGTCGTTCAAGCTTACCTTGTAAAGAATTACCATTCATTCCCACTGCAACGAAATAATTTTTTACTTCAGGACTCTCTCCTAATATACATCTGCCATCTGGTGTAAAGTTATCTGGACAATTATACACTGTGGGTTCTTTAATGTCTTTTAAAATAGGTAACCGATGCACAACTTTTTCCCATAATGGTTTCCAATGTGCTTTGTCAGTTTTTAATTGGCCTGTCCAATCTTTTGCTGGGACATTACCATTTTCAAAAGCAGGTCGTGCTTCACGTTCGAACCAGCCAGCCATTAAACCACCTATAAACAACGATAACATTTTGTTACATTGAAATATACATAATCAAAATCATTTGAATCTTTATAAAGTCATTTATGGTTTGCAGAATAACAATTATTCAAGAATTAAAAAGATAATTCACATTTGGCATATGTTACCTTGCCACTGTCTCATATATGAGTGAGAATCAAAATCTCGTATGCAGGGTAAATCGGAACTTAACTCTGGTGTAAACGGTGCGGTTGTAGCATAAAAGTGTTCAGCCGGATATGCAGGAATTCGTACTGGTGGATTGCACCGCAATCCTAACTCTCGAGCCCACTAAATAAATTAAGCACTCTGCTTATGCTCAACGCATTATCATTTTTACTTGTATTAAAAAATTACAGATACTTATTTAAGGAATACCATTGTTAACGAGATATAAGATGTTTCTTTTTTAATAAATCTTTAAGTGTAGTTTAATGCAATTAAAATAAAAATAATAAACGATTCACCATGAAGAAATGCTTACCATTCCGGCACAATTTATAAAATATTCGCAGAGGACAGTTCCACTTTCAGTTTTTACATATTTTACAGCACCATTATCTGTGGAGACTTCTAGGATTCGACAATTTTCCCGATACTGTGCTCCACCTTGTCGTGCTAATTTTGCTAAAATATCGCAAATTGCACTAGAATTGGCCACTGCATCTTCTGGCACCCAGACTGCACCTTCTAAGTCATCCACATGCAAATATGGATGAAGTTTTTTTAAATCTTTTTTCCCAAGAATCTTTTTCCCATGAAACATATTGAAATGAATTAATAGTTTAGAATAAACTCAATTTATGTTTTAGATAATTTAGTAAAGAAAAATAATTGTTTCTAGTACAAAAATAGAATTCCAAGTAATGATGAATTTAGTTTATGCAAGCATAATATTGTAAAATGACTATTCAAATTTTCTAGGGTTTATAATTAATGTATAATTACTTCACAGTGTAAACCAGTAGGAACATTATATGCTATTCTCCGTTTTAGGGCTGTCATTCTGTCTTTTGTTTGTGCCAAGTTTATACTTCCACATTCTCGCAATCCAATATCGTAACCCATCTCTTGTAACTGACGATACAGTTTTATACTGTATGAAATGAGGTTCCTGTGAGAGATAGGTTTGAATAATCCAAGAGTGCCCGAGCCAAAATGTGATGTTCCACTGCCAATCCTGTAAGAGAACAATCATCACACTGTAATGGACTAAACAAAAAACAAAATGATGACTTATTTACACATTATTATAGAAATGCTGATGATAAACAAACAAATTTGCTAAAGATGAAAATAATATACTTGTTTTTAAATTTTTCATATATAAAAAAGATATCTGAGTGACAATCAAAGTCCAGTTCTTAATTTCACCTGAATAAATATCATTGTATCATGCTCTGACATGAAACATAAAGTGAGACATAATATTTGAGTTTTCTTCTGAGCACTCCTTGAATCGTAATAGACTTCAGTGAGACAACAATGAAACAGGTAAGGATTATTTATATATAAGAAGAAATTTGTAAAATTACTCATACCGTCCTTGCTCCAATACAAGTACGTCATTACATCCATTGATAGTAAGATGATACGCAACAGAATTAGCAACAGTACCAGCACCAGCAATGACAACTTGAGATTGTGAAGGGAGAATTGATTTCCCAGGAGATGGAAATTCTTTTTCAACATTTCTTTTGGTTGTAATATCAGTCCCATATTTATAATTTATATTGTAGGTTAGGTCTTGTGGCACTGATATTTTTCTTATGCTATAATTCTCTTTTGCTAAGAATGGTAACCGACTGCATCCTGGGCAAAATTGTCTTAACATTCAAAAATATATTGTATCTTATTTGGAAGATGTTTAACAATCAATCAGTTCAAACCAGTTCAAACTTTGCTGAATAATGGTTATCTGATGACGTTCGGCGTAACTGGACTAGTCTCGACAGACTTGTTAATTTAGAAAATAAATATCTTCGACAACAATGGCAAACTTTCAGAGAAGCTATTTTCTGTCGATATATGTCAAGTTATATAAACTCGTATAACATTACTTATAAATTATTAATAGCTATAATGTTTAATGTTCTTCAGCGTAATAGGTGCGCATACATTAACTATATGATTACTTTTAATGTTGCAAGTATTTTTTAAATAATAGTAAGATTTGTGCAATTATTTACTGTGATATTAGTTTTGAAAAATTGTATTGTGGAATTAGGAAGCCCGGTATCGCAAATACATTTTTCTTAGTTTGATGTGTAATTGTCATTTTGTAATTTGCAGAAAATTTTCTGTCTCCGGAAACATTTATAATATACGCGATTCTATTTATAATTTTGCAACTACTATCATGGGTCCCCAAATTTACAATTTTGTCTGGCCTATTATAATGCAATTGTGTTCTTTCAAAATGTTATGGATCTTCTATTTCATCGTTTCTTGCATCACAACTTTTCTCATGGTTATGGTAAGATATGTACAAACATTAAAATGAATTTTCGGCAATGGAATGAAATTTTTTGGTCCAATAAATTTCTTCAGTGAAATATTAATTGAAAGTAAAATTTTTGCTTAAAATTATATTTTTACACATAGTAATTCAAGTTTTTCAAATTATTAGTACAAGAGTCGCGAGGACGAGTTAAAAGAATCCGTAAGTATGTTGTGCTATACATATAACAGAATATCAATATTGAATTTTTAACGCTTCGATAACATATTTGTATACGCCCTATAACCATTCTAGAGACTTTGCTTAAAAATATATTATTCTCCATTTTTATATGTATCTATTAATATTCTGTTTCAGATTTTACCCAATGATAATAAAGACCATAAACCAACATCCGGTGAAGTTGGTGTAAATTCTGATTAATTTTTATAATTTTTTGAAAATTATAATATAAATTAGTGTATTGCAACTGATGAATAATTCACATATATCACTACATACTTGCTTACGTATACTGTTTTGAAGAACTTGTATAGTATATTAACAATAATTACAGGTAATCAAAATTGTATGTGATAAATTGCATGCATTGTCGGAAAAATTGGCAGCGAAAGAACACACGGTATAAATCATCATCATTATATAATACCATTATGCTGTCATACAAAGAATAATATTGCAACAAAAAAGATAATATAACGAATAATAACAATAATAATACATTACAGTTGAAGGAGTCGATAAAGAGTACAGAAAAAGTATTGAACGATATCGACAATAAAAGTGTATCGATGATCGAAGATCGATATAGAGACCTGATGATTGATTTAAAGAAAAATCTTATGAAAACCGAACAAGAGGTTGGAGCAATATTAATGTTTATTACTGTAATGCGAAAAGAAATATTATACATTTGAATTGTAGGTAAAAAGTTTACAAGATGAAGTCACAAGTTTATCTCTGCGTCGTGAAAATCTTAAGAACGACGTTTTGAAGGTTTTGTGTCCCCCTGAATTATTCTATTATTGTTTTTTAGTTATTGTTTTTCTTTATTTATGGGTTATATACGCTTACGTCCTATATCTGACTTCTGCTTTCATTCGTTTAGCAACAAGAAGACTATCATAAAATGCTAGCTACGTTTAACAAGGATTTGGAAAGTGAGTATACACGTTTTAATAATCTATTGAATTTTTTGTTTCTTTTTAAAATATTTTTATCAACAAAACTGTTTATTAGAATGAAGATTTAAAATAAATACATTAGCATATTATAGCTCAAGTTTCATGAAATCAATGTATTTTAAATACTCTACATGATTGCCTTGATTCTAATGTTAATCCAACAAAATCTACAATGATTGAGATATTAGATTACTTATATGATGCACTCATTAATTTCTGATAAACCAATTACAGGCAACAATGGACAACCGAAGTGCAGTAATTTTAAAGTTCCAACGACTTTGAGATGCACTTATACGTCTGATAATCATTCTCGATCAACAATTCGCTCGAAAGTGGATCGATTGTAAATATGTATACCTTTTTCTCAATATTTCTATACTTCACATGACAATCGTCGGATTTAAATCTATTAAAATTTCCTGATATAAACTGTATCGTGATGTTTGAATTTTGTTAAGTAAATGGCACAATATATGGATACAACTTTATCAATCTTATATTTATTAATAAAAATTACCTTTGTATTCGAATGAAATATATCGAATCTTACAATAATTGAGTAATTCATAATAAAACACATTACATTCGTGAATGTTATGTCTTATGCGTAACGCAATTTCGGTGTTACTTTGTCGCTAAAAACAGAAACAGGCATTTATCAAAAAGTCTGATTACGTATATAATAGTATATAACGATTATATTTGTCCGTTGATAAATATAAGTCAATTATACGAGATAAATTCTCACTATGCTACTGTATAATATCAAATACGCAGGTAATCTGGATATTTGCGAATTACAGGTAATTTTGCAATTTGTTGAAAACTTTAATATTTCAGTTTACAATACACTGTCCTATCTTTTAGCCAGCAGAATATACTATAAACATTTTAAATAAGGAAAATTAAGTTTTTTTATATGCATATACTAAGAAGCAAGAGATGTACGTCTATGTATAAGGCACTCAATCGTCATCTTTGCTTTCTGTACATAATAAAAAGAAAAATTGCATAAATAATTTGGCAATAACTAATAGTAGAGTAACATAATCAACTAATAAAATAAAACCAGGAAACATAAGTAGTGAAACTTAAGTTATTAAATTCATTTAAATTATCAAATTCACAATATCATTTGTGAAATTTTTTCGCCCATCTGTATTTCTTATTTGTTTACGTAATCTGTCCTGATTTTCATTTCGCTTAACGAAATTTTCATTCGCATACCTTAGGCATGTTTTTAATGGTGTTAACGTGTTTAACCCTTTGAGAGCGGAGCTCTTTAAATTTAAACACTTGCCGGACACATATAAGCGCCAATAGCACTAAATGGGTTAATATCAGCTGATCAATGAACATTTGACAGTATATTCATTGTAAATAAATTTATTAGATAAAAATTTATCTAAGTAATAATTAAAGTTGTTTTAATGTTAATGATCTCTAATAATAACAAAGATTAGCAAGTAATAAAACCTGTGCAAAATATTGAATAACGTTCAAAATTGTTTTTCAAATAGACAATTTCTTAAGTGCCAATCAAATCAATAAAATTTATATAAATAATCTCATGATTGTGTATCACGGATATTATATCATTTGTTAGATATTGATTGCAACTTCGCATGATAATTTATAGTTCCGTATGATGAGAGGGAAATTTCTTGAGTACCGCGTGGTAAAGATTATAGAAGGCATAAAAGCTGACACTGAGTATTACAAGAAGTGCTGAACCAAATATCCAGGACAAAAAATTTCCGTCAATTATGTCAGATGTCTCTCGTCGTTTTCGTGCGCTCAGATCACCTAGCGTGCTACCCTTTCGAGCCTCCATCATTCTCTTCATGTTCGCCAATTTTTCACGTAGCTCGTCCACGGACTCGGCGATGTCCTCGATCGATTCACCGTCCGCGAGATTTCTGAGAACTTTTAAATGTCAAAGTTTTAGGATAACAGTTAATCAATATACAACAATACAGTATAATAAATAATAAGTCTACATTATTTGCAATACATGAATCATTATAACATAATTTGTCTTATTTATAATTATAATAATATTTCTGCATTTTTTTTATATTGTCTAAATTCAAAATTAATTTATCCAACAACATCAACATTAAGGACGTGAAAGTGCCATAGGCGATTATATAATTATTTACTGTACCGACATATACATATATCGTCATTTACATGTGCATATATATAGTTTTTCATATATATTGTTTGACGTAAACGTAATCATGTTTATCGCGAATTATTATACAACACTGTAGAGTATTTATGATAAATTATATTCAGTTTTTAAGGTTCGGTAGTAATAATTGAAAGATTGACACAAGAATAAGAAATGTAGAGAGTAATTTTTTAAGCAAGTATGAAAGGGGTACGGAATGTAGTATATCAAGTAAATATATTAAGAATAAGAATGTCAGGATTTTTCTGCTGTTTTATTTAGAAGGTTTTTTATTTTTAGAAATAATTTACCTGCTGACTGTGGTATACAGGTGTGTGTACTTGATTTCATGATGATGCTTCGGCTGAAACGAGATGATCACGGCTTCTCACTGGTCCAGCTTGCTCTCCCACAATCGTATTGATCTTCAGCCTCCAAACCAGCCCGCAATTTCTTCGCGCAGTCTCAGCTGCTTGTTGGACCCCTTTTCTACAATTATTTTCCTTTTTTTTTTCAAAACTTTTTTTATGGTCGATTAGGAATTTCGAGGAAGTTCTGAAATTGCCACATTTTTTATTATACGGTTATTTAATGTTGTTCATAATGTCTGCTTTGTAATCTAGAATTTTATACCTTGTTCTTAAAAATTTAATGGCATATTTTGCATATTATATATTTTTCAATAAACAATTTTTAAAAATAAATCTTTTATGGACAAATTACTACAATTTAAAATATATTTGTTATTAATCAATAAACATTAACAATTGACTCTCTAACGATATAATTTCTTCATAAGTTTTGAATTATACGTTGATTTAAAATAAAAAATAATGTAGATTACCTTAAACAGTGGAGTCAATATTATTATAAGAAAAAATTTGTATGTTCATACTGTACTTTTTATATATTCATTGATTTTTCTGGGTAAAATTGTTTAACAGTAAGATGCCGAGCAGCGTGGACAATTCTTGGGTAACTGACTTTATTATGTAGTACACATTCTTTGTATGGATTCTTGAAGAATGATAATATATTTTATATATGTAGTCATTTTCGCATATGGTCATTAATTTTTTGTGACGGATTTATTGCATAAAATATAAAAGAATTTAAACAAATAGTATTTCCTACTTTTTGAATATTATAAATATTTCTTTATAGTCACTTTTGACAATAATAGTTTTATTTTATCTAAAAAATACCTACCATCAATGATGTTAGTGTGCAGTCCGCTGCAAGTAAATTCACCAATCAGCAACTACTTTACCATAAAGTATGCATAGCATATGGGCTAGTATCGCAATGAAATTCTTGTCCAATTTCACACAAAAAATATAAAATACTGAACATAAAATTTTATTGACCCTTCCGCATATGAATCTTATCCATTTCAAATTTTGTCAGTGTTTGTTGCATTTAACAATATAGAAACTGTAAATAATCATGCACAGTTAATATGATTAATGAAGAAATAACAGTAGATGGTATGATATTAATTAACGCATATTGTGCAATGTTTACTGAATTAAATTTTACTATTTCTAATTGATAATGTTGGTTAATAATTTCTAGTGTGTGATATATTTAACTATTTTTGGTGCATATTCAGGTTAATGTTTGAAATACTCCAGTGTTGTTTGAAAATGGATTATCTACCTAGGAAATATACATCAGAAGCTTGTAATTAATAGGTCACAATTATATTTTATTGTCTTCACTGCAAATCTCTATGGCCAACATTTATAAATAAATATACTCTTGCTTATTGGAAGAACAACTTATCGAAGTAAAGTCAGGCAGAGATATTTTGTTTACGCGTATAGATCTTACTAGTGGAGTGGTAGAATAATATATTAATTAATGAGGAGCATATAGACCGGCGTTGAATAGTATACAGAAAATGGCTATTTATGCTTGTTTTGCAGCTCAGTTTCATATTGGTTTCAATCAATTGATCGTTCGTCGCGGCTTTGAATATCCGGCAAAAGAATAATCCGTCGCCGCATTCGGGCGGAGTCCTGCGCAAGTTCGCTCGAGGGAGCTGTGACGTCACGGGGCAAGATGGCCGCCGATATTGGAAATGGAGTAGCCTAGAGACTGGGCGGTAGTGAGAGCCACTTAGGTGTGTCAGTTCGGCTTTTTCGCGAGAATGCAATCGAAATTTAACAAACCAGCACTAGTGCCGTGCGTGTACTGTGATAAGAAGAGTGCGCGATTGTTTCAGTGTACAAAGTAACTGGATATTTTGAACGTCACGGTTTGCCGACGGAAGACGGCCAATTTTCTTATCTTGTCAGAACCTCCCGTAGTCATCTTATCGCGACAGGACTTCTTTTTCAGAACGTTTTCTCACGTGAACAATGAGCAGCCTTAGAGAGTGAGGAAAACTCGGAAATTGTGTCCTAGATAAAGCAAAAATATTTGACCGCTTCATCGTCAACTGGTTTACTAGCGATGGAAAGACGGAAATGATAAAAATTCCTTTACGTATACAAGTGCATTTTTCTTCACCAATGTGTTTCAGAGGATTGTGTTCTATAGTTCAGGGTGAAGTTAAACTCTTGTGGAGAAGATTTTAACAATTGTATTCTGTGTCAATCAATGCTTGGGTTTGATGGACTTTAAAAGGATGGGGAATTTTGATTTTCACATCCTGTTGGCTTCTCAATGGGAAGCAATACTCTGGGAACAATGTTGAACTCTACAAACATCAAAGTTTAAAGTGCAGGGAATATGATGTTTTCAGTGACCAGTGGCTGATCGAGGTGATCACAGATGTACATTGCAAAAGAACTTTGTGTGTTGGTATATTTCATTAAGAAGTAAAACTATTATGTTATTTTGTTTGGATATTTTCCATAAACTTTACAAATATTTCAGAGAGGAAAAACTTCTTATTGCTTAATTCAATCTTTTTTATTATAGAAATTTTTTGAATAACAGCAAAGATTTCTTATTTAAAAGACAAGTGTCCAAAAATGAAGGGTGATACAAACACGATTGACTTCTGATGATAAAAAAATGTTAAATGATGTGAATAGCTAACTTGAAATATTCATATTTAGCTAGTAATTGAACAAAACTACAAACTCACATTATACATGAATTCAGAATCATAACACATGACACTTTGTTATTACAATAGCTCAAATTTCACCGTTCTACAAGATATCCAGAATTTTTTATCAGACAAATTATAACCATAAAATATGGGTGGTTTAATTAGCATTATCAAACTGATATACTAATGGACGGATAGACTAATATGAATATAGGGTCCTAAATAAAATTTTTCAATTATAGATTGAGAACCTTAGTGTGAAATTCCAAAAGTTGTAAAATCATCATTTTTTGAGCAAGCAATGAAAGCTTATAACCAATGGGGTAGTAGTGATGAGTAGATAGATTTAAGAGGAAGTGGAATCCTGTCAGTTCAAGGCAGTAGCACAGTAGTGTGATAGTGTGAGAAGCAGTAACAAACAAGATGTGGAATATGATGTGCGACGTGTTGCCCACTATTTCGGAGGACAGCATCAGTCAGAGGAGCTCACAGTTTTCTGGCGAAGACGCTCAGTTTGAACAGCTGATGGTCACAATGTTAGATGAACGGGACAAGCTGGTGGACTCGTTACGCGAGAGCCAGGAACGTTTGCAAGAAGCTGAGTCTCGACTCCAGGAAGTTGAGAAAGAAAGAGATGCACTCAATCGTCAAATCAATGCTAACATTCCTCAGGTACTGTTGCTATCTATTATATTCATTGATTTATATTCAAAATACTGATACTCCTTTACTTCCCAAAAACAAATATATGACCTGCTACAAAGGAGTCATGTTTTTGAATGATATTCCTATTTATAATAATTTGTTATATCTTGAGCAATGCACATCATCGATGTTGAATATAATCTTTACAAGTATGTACATGATATGAGAAATAGACACATCTTAAAATCTTCATAGAATTGAAACAGTAACAGGGTCATACAGGAGCATTCTCAAATTATGTTAAAATACTATTCCTGTAAGAAACAGACATAATGATGAAAGAAGCTGAAGTTGCTTCAAGATATTTTGCTAGGACTTTGTATACTTAACTAAACTATCGTTCCTGAATATTAAATTTGTAACTAAACATATTCTAGTCCAAGCATAGAGAAAAATTATATAGATATCTTATAATATGAAAATCTTACAAAACTGCTATTAAATGCAGAGATGATTAAAATTTAAATAGTGAATTGCGAAACTTGGATTGCCAAATTTGCTGATGACAATCTGTCGTTTAATGAAACAGCTGATTTTATTAAATTGTTAAATTTATCAATAGGCTGCATATATTTGGTGAAACGTATTCCAAACATTATAGCAATAATAGAATCTCAGTGCTGGAAAGTTGGTCAAAGCACCTTATTCCTATTACCTAGTATAATAGAAGTTAAAATACTAAGAGTTGTCAGGTTGTTTAATTTCAGACCTTTATTTATTACTTTATCAATAATGTAAGATACAGTTCATATTACGAATTTAAAAATTAATGTTACTCGCGAGTTTGTTCCAATATTTGTTTTACCTGGTAATAATACTCAATACAACGTAGTTCTGAAAAAATTGTGCAGAAAGTTAAAGATTTAATGAAGCCTCATAAATAAATGATGGCAGTAAAATAAATAAAATCGATCTGATCGCGTGTCAAGCAACATAAATTAATTTACTATTACTTTCTTACTGAATATGAATGAGCGTGTACTCTAATCGTGTCCAGCTACGCTGAGAAAATTCATTCTATGTGCAAATTTTCTAATTTCATGGTCATTTGTCGTAAAAACAATTATTCCAATTATACAATTTTAAACTTAGAAAAAGCTCCCACGACATTTATTGCAGTAATCGCATATATGAATTTCCTACAGTGATTTATCTTTGTACTAATTTCGGTCTACTTTGATGTACAAAAAAAGTTTAATTGATAAACATAAATTATAAGCTAATCTGACTGGTTGATAAACGATCAGCCACATATTACACCATAGTTTCTTTAAAAAAAGAACTACACTGAGAAATCGTCATTAAGAAACGTAAGCCAAAAGTTACTCTCACAAATGGATTCCGCTTCCGCTTTTGATTGATTACAAAATTATCTGAAATATACTACTCGTGCACAGTTTCTCAAGAATTGACTTAAGAAATTCTGTCACTCGTTTTTATAAAATTCATTAGACAAGCAGATTAAAGGGATATTAATCTGTTATCGATTCACGGTGATTGTCTATTTTTAAGCTATAGGTACAAATGGCTCCAGAAAGGTAGAGGTGTCTCAAGAAGCGATTATTAAGATTAATCCATAATAGTATGGCGATGAAAATATAATAAGAGGGCAAATCGAATCTCATATCGTCTGACCCAATTTCTATTTTCACCTTTCCACTCTTTCCACTACCTCTTCGTATCCGTCGTCTCTTACTTATTTATATTCCTCCAATTATCCCAGAATGGAATTTAATATCACTAATCGTATGGTGATCGTGCTTCTTTAATAGAGCTGGTACGAATTCTCAAGGAGATTTCGGAAAATTATTTAATCATCATTTTCAACGCCTGGATCGGCGACCAATGCCTGCACGAACCCATCAGCTCGAAATAAGTCGATTAAATTATTTCGCAACAACTAAGTTGCACCTATGTGTATAGTATACTATTTTATCTATACTAGGTAGCACCAGATTTTACCCACGTATAGTGTTGTACTCGTTCGGTTAAAAAAAAACGTAAAAGTAAACGTGTTTCCTTCCCTCAATGGAAGCGAGTAGTAAATCGACTTTTATAACTGAACGAGTCAATAAGCGCCACCATTTATTTAATGTGTAATGGCATTAAAAATTTCTTATTTTTTTCAACGAATTCGTTAAGTTTCAATAAAGCGTCAGGAACTTATTCGAGTTATTTGAATCGTTTTTTTCATATCAGTCAGAAATTTACTTGTAAACTTGCTTCGTGCTGCTACCATTAAACTTGTCTATCTTACGCGCGATTTCAACCGGCGAAATGCAATTCACACTTTCTTCGTGTTGCCATTTGTATATATATACACATATTAAAGTATATGTACGTACTTGACATGTAATCGGAAAGGAATTAACCAGTTTCGTGTGGCTTAAACCAATTCGAGATACATGGTTGCATTGGATAGGTAAATACGTGAAGAGATATTAATACCTGTAGACTCTATGGCAGCGATGATCTAGTTCAGATTCATTAATTGATTCTCGATTTAATCGGTGGATTTGCATGGTCATTTAGCTGCGGGATTCGATATTCAAGTATTAAAAGGCACGAGCCGATTTGCCGATTATTGGCGAGTCTATAATAACAATTGTCGATAACTGTGTCAAGAGGGTAGGCAAACATAACCTGAAACGTTTTGAGCTTTGAGAAGAACCGATTCTATTTTTCCGGCCGATTAATAGCTCCCCTTTTATTACTTTACGCCGAGTGTTACGAGTGAGTGGTTTCACGTTAGTTGAAATAAGTAGAAAGGAATGAAGGAAAGAAAAATACGTCGCGAAGTGACCTGGTAGTTATAAAAAAAAAAATTCACCGTTTCCTTTGACGATCGGAAATTTTAAAGGGATTATTATAGCCTTTCTGTTTGTTAGGACTTTATTTTTTTTCCTTTCAGTTTCAAGGCAATCCGTATTGATGATTCTTGGGTGAAAAGAAAATTTCATTATACCGTCAAAGTTATGGACAAGAATTTACGTTACTTCGTTATGGGGCGAAATATTGAATGCTTTGAGGTGGACCTTAAATCTGGTCGCTACTTTTGGGATATTAAAATAGGTTGTCACATAATATTCCAGATGAATTTGTATTTCTTGTAATTTCTTGTGTTTTTGGTGAAATTGATGGAAATTACAAAATTATCAGCCGAGCTTGACAGACATCTTAATCTTGATGAATCAACGTAGTAAAAACTTATCGAGCTCCTGTGAAATAAACTTAGCAAATCAGGATATCAGCACCCTGACCATTGTTAACGCTCTTGATTTTATTTAATTTATTTAACGCATGCATTGATTTGATTTATTATCAATTTATTTGAACCATTTGAGGCAACATTAATTCACGTGACGTATACTTTGTGCAAAATTTAGAAGTTTGTACATAATAATTATTTACAACTAATGTATCCGCGACATAGGTATACGTGTATCTTTTAATAATAACTACAGAAGTCGAATTTAATACATCGTATAATAATATTGTATGTGTCTAATAGCAGATTTATTTTACTTATGGAAAAAAAAAAACAATTTCTTAGTGCAACTATGAGTGATATCCTTTTAGAAAGTAATAGTAATTTTAACCTTTTGTCCTTATTTCTTATTGGGGTATTGTGTTACAGTGATGTTAATGGGTCGTTTTTTGAATGTGGAACGAATGGAAGGACTCCATATATAGAGCCGACTGAAAGTCAAGACGATTAAAGTAATAGTTATGAAATACTATTAGGCCGTCACGAAGATATTAACTATCACGTTACCTCGCTATCGCGTGACAATAACGTTAAATACCTTTAAAGTAATACGCAATGTACACGACTATACACCTTTACGAATCTGTCACAATTTTTGGGTGTCTCCTAATTTGAAACTCGGGGAAAATTTGTTTATAAGAGAACCCATGCAAATTTATGATATACAAGAACATAGAGGCTAAGCCCTTAATTGCCTCGTTTCTCATTTATTCATAGCTTTATACAGTCCGTCCATCAGTGAAATGCGGTTCGAAGGTGACATCTTCCCACGCGTTTTAATGCAAAGACTGTTTAATTCGTGGATCGATTATATATTGTATAATGTTTCCTTAGTCACGTATTTTCTTGTAATTTATTCATCGTCACACTTTCATTGTTCATCTCGATTTTTGTCTACACATTAAAATATATATTACTTCTTACAATGGTCATGCATAATACTCAGCCGTGTAATATGATAGACATTTCAATTTGACCAAATGAATCTGAAAATCATTAGAAGTCCTCGATCTAGCCATGAAAGTCAATGATTATTACATTATCTGATTTGCCGGCACGATCAATCGTATATTAATCGGGACTTAATGTTATCGGGAATCTACGGGCTTATGGGATCGTTAAGTGAAACGCGCCTCTTTGGCTTCGTTTTGAAATTGAATTATATTAATCGGGGTATAGACAGTCTTGCTGCTTCGAGACTCGTCGAACGAATTTCAACCGGTTGCTCTCACTTGCTGTGTAAATTTCATAACCATTGCCATTCGCAGGTCTCTGTTATGACAGAAATACATTTGCGGGGAATTTCAATTGACATGGACAACGCACCGCGCATACAAAGCCTCCCTGACGACCCTCGTCTTACGCTTTTCTCTGACAGGCAGACAGAGAACAGAGCTGCTAATTGTACGCTAAACAGTTGAGTTTTTCACTCTCGAAGGTGAACGAACACTTGTCATTAGCGGAAGAGCGCCAACTTTTCTCTGAACAAATAATCTGTCTCGTTAACGACGCGCGAATAGAAATTCGTTCTATTCTCCCTTACCTTTGACTCTTGGCCTCGGCCTGTCTATAGAACTTCGTTGTATTAACGCGATTCCGCTACTTCAACGTGACGAATGAAATTTCTAATTGGCATGCATATTACTTTTTCTGTTCTTCACGTTGATTCTTTCCAGTCGACCTTCGTCCAAGCGCAACA